CACATCAATTTGAGTAGTTAACGTCTCTGCCACCACACTCATTTTTAACTCTTTATTACACAAGTTGTTTGCCTGCTGTGCGACACGTAGGAGGCTAGGGTAGAAACCATTCTGAATTTCCATACAGACAGCTACAGCAGAGCATAGATAACACTGCCTAACAAGTGGGGCCTAGGGCAATTATTTTTATTCATTTAATATTTAACTGCTTTAAACAAATTTAACTCACTCCCCAAGGGTCGATACTATTCTGCGTGCAACCCAGTATGTATTTGCTTTTCACAGCCCAGCTGTGCTAAAAAAAAAATTATTGTAACCACCCATGCGTTAGAGCTCAATTTGTAGGACTGCACACTTTAATGAAAAGAGGTTTGCAACATAATGTTCGGGTCCCTTACTGCGACACAACCTACCACAAAAAGTAAAACAATATAACATGAAGTGCTCACAAATATAAAAAGATGACAAACTGCCGCCGCAGCCCAACACAGCTGCAATCCGAGCCCTAGGAGGAAGAAGAGACAAGGACGACGCTTCGCATGCAACAGATAGAGACAGCGACATCTGCCACCAGCCAACTAAGAAACAACATAAAAGAGTGTCCCCACGTGTTATCGCCCTGCCACTCTCCAGCCAGTTGATTCTTCGTGCCGCCCAAGGTAAAGTTCACCAGCGGGGATGTGTCGAGTACAGAACAGATATGCACAGAGTAGCAGACGCTATAGAAGCAAAACCAGGAGAGAAAAAATTGCTGTTGAGGGGACAGTTCTACATTCGCTCACGGGAATCTATTTCTCCACCCGAGGCCATCCTTCTGAGGAGCCCAATCACTTCAGAGAGGAAAAAAAATTACTGTTGCAGGGACAGTTCTACATTCCTTCAAAGGAATTTGTTTTTTTAACTCACTTCTCAAGGATGAGCTTTCGTCGCAGAGGGGAGGGGGCAAATTGATGCATGATGCCCTGGCAACAATGATTTCAACTCATCAGCATAGCATAGAATTGCATCGAGTTCAATGGAGTTCTGGCATTGTTGACAGCTGCATGACATCAAGGGATTGTACTATTTACCACAGCAATAATGGACGTTCCAGCCAGCAAACCTGTGTTATTCACTGGCCCCCCGGGGCTATGCAGTTGTAGACACCGAGTACTACTGCCTACCGCTAGATGACTCCGCCAGTATACTTCATCACTTCCTTCATTCTCCAAGCTGACTGGCGACGTCACGTCAGAGAAGCAATGCTTTTGCCACCCCCCTCTCCAGCGGCCACCCTCACCTAAGAGACGCCAGCAATGATCATAGAGGCAGCCACCCGGCAGAGTATAAATAGGGAGTCAGAATTCTAATCAGGGCCCAGTCTTCATTTCCTTACTGCACCAGCCACCGGGGAATTGATCAGCCTGCTCACCTATGCTCCTAGCTCTACCTTACCTCTTCACCACAATCTTAGTGCCAGAAGGGACACCTAATCCTTGGTCTCCTCACTGGGATCAATCCTATCTCACCCTGCTTAGTCATGCTGAAGAGACCTAACGCCAAGTCATCTACACAGTTAGACATTGCGGCCCCATCTGGGCAACAATATTATAGGGAGTTAGTCAAGTTTAAGTTGTTATCACAGCGCTACTCTACCCTGTCCCTTGTAGCTCAGGACCAAATCATCTCTACATGACTTACATAGGCATACCTTCTCCAAAGCTCTTGTTAGACGCAGGAAGTTGTGCGACACCACGTGTTTATTTCCAAGCTCATGGAATAAACATTGTGTTCTATCCAATTCACGAGTTGACTTCACCTCTTGAAAGAAATGCAGGTGACCTGGGAATTACACTCAGTCGAACCAACAAACTATTTACCATTTACTAACACACACGCACTCACCATGGCCAGCCTTTCTGCATACCCTGGTAGACAGAATGGCAGGGCCCGCTCACGGGTACTGTGCCTTCAGACAAGCTTGTCAGATCGGTGCTCGCCTTTCCACAGCACTTTCAGTACCGGAAGGGATGTTCCCTAAATTGGGAAGACTGCTGGGACATACACCCACAAGTCGGGACTGTTGACAACGAGGCCTGACTCACAGTGTTCACTGTGTTAAGGTGCAGAGCACTGGGATAGGAGTCCGTTCAGTCGGCAGCCGCTCCACATGGCTTGACACTACGTAAGGATTCACATTCCCTGCCTTTCGCCTCAAGGACGCAAGCGTGTCTTGTGTGTCTCCAGATGCTTTATTCCAAATGTAGTGGTATTAGGGAAAAGGCGAAATAAGTGCTAACTGTATCTGGCCATTTGCAAGAGCTGACCCCCTTCCCTCGTAGTCTTCATCAACCAGCTCGCACCCAGGGAGCAGGCACAGGCATTACGTCACCTTTTAGTACCAGTCACTCCAGAGATTCCACAGCGATTGTTCGAAGTCCTGACTCTCGTCGCAGTGAAGATGTCCAGCCTTGGCTTGTCGAGTATCTCAGTCAGCCGGACCAGCCACCAACAATCCCCCATGTGCACCTTCGACTCGACATAGATGTTTGGCCCCCACCGGCAAGAACCAACGCATCAGTGTTCGCAGCCTAAAGTGTAAAACCACACTGCCCGAACCAGACTTTGTGCCTGCCGCAAAGCTACCAGGCCAGTCCTTTATACTAGGCGGGCACCCATGTTACGTAAGGATTAAACAAAACTAGAGAACCCCGCCAGAATAGGGTGTACCTGATCTAGCACCCGACGAAACCTGTACTGATTGACGTAGTGTTCTCCCAGTCAGGCAGGGCGTCATGTGTCAATACAAAGTTGACACATCAAAAAAAGGTGACACAGAGAGGAAATAAGTGTTATCTCAGGGTCAGAAAGAAAGTTGCAATACAAAGCTAAGATATTACACACTGTAGCAATTCATCAAAAATAATGAGAATCACTACTCCTGGTTGATTTATTATTTCAGATTAATATTTTATTTGCAGGATCACAAACTGGATCCTAAAATCACATTTTCCATTATGTCAATGCCTGTTTTATCTACAAGAAAACAATTCAGGCACAAAAATATGTATAGTATATTGACTGCACAAAGCCACAAAATTGCCCTCAAATGCAAAACAAAACGAAATAATGCACAGTACAATTCACCACATGGCATGTAGCATTAACCAGTAAAAACCCTATATGTAGTTCTTCTCCTCTTCAACATAGTATTTTTAAAATTTATTTAAATTCCCTGAAGTGAAACAAATTTCCCAGCCTTTTTCAGGTTTTCCCCATTTTCCCTGTTACTAGCCACCTTGTTTATATCATACTGCCTAGTAGTTTTCAGACATTACAATTAATAACTTTTGGTAGTAGGTTGTTTTATGGCTTCAAGAAAACCCTTTGTTATGATCTTCAAGAACTTGCTAATTTAAATGTTCTTGGAATATGAATTTTGATATAGGTCAAATACTACAGTATTTTACACACTGTTAATGTTTTTATGTTATGTACTTATTAGGCATAAGTCTATTGTAATTTATGAAATTATTGATTGACTAAAAAATTGGTCTAAATGTGTCTACAAGGCAACTATTCAGCAGCTAGTGTTGCAGTTACCAGGAGGAGAATGGAGAGCGCCAACCCCCCAAGTAGGCCGTGACAGAGTGTGTAGAAGGGCCGGAGGTACTCCTGGATGGTGATGGCCGTGGCAAGGGGCGTGGCCCCTGTCCCTCCCCCTCCTTCTCCTTCCTCAGGAGCCAGGCCAGCACACAGCACCTTCTCCCGCATTGCCTGCGAGAAGCCATGCGTGCGCTGCACGTATACCTTGTTGCCATGCGAGGAGTCCATTGGAGGCATAGGAATACCTGGCAGTTGGACACCTGCATATTGATCCATTTGGTGGTGTCACAAATAATTTATCATTTGATATCTTACAATTTATTAGGTACCATATTTCTATATGTTTTATGAGGTTTGGATATATGTCCTATAGGCCATTCTCGTATCAATGGCGATTTAAACATGTTATGGTAACATTTTTAAAATGTGCTGAACATGTGAAATGTCATGATATTTAAGTATTTTAATTTCCAACTAATGTTTTACATGTATTATTATACTCTGTTGTAACCATACTAAAAGTTGAAAATACGTTTTGACAGTTAATGTTGTACACCATTTTAAAGTTCCCAAAACCATTAATGCTGATGGACCTTCTGATCTGTCAGTGCAGTAGATTATCCATGATTGACACACACGTGTTAGCCATACTCTCATTTTTAATAAAGTTTTTATAATAAATTGGTGTGTTGAGTGAATAAAAATGGACACAAGAGAACATAATGACATGACCATGCGGGCAAAGTTTTCAAGAAGCCCGAAGCAGCAAAATATTATATATAATATTAAAGTTCATCCACATATGCCTTCCCAGCTAATTCAAGGCAATCTTGTTCTGGTTTTATATCACCTTGGTAAAGAGCCATATCAGAGCTCTACAAGTATCTCCATGTTTGATTCATTTGAGCTTGTGGACAGTTGCATCTAATGTCCATGATATGTAAAGACTCTCATGCAACGAACTAAGCATTCTGACATTTTTAATATCACTTATACTTTCAATTCCAGTGTCACATTGAGAAATATTTAATTAGAGAATTTTAATATAGTACTCAACCCATGCAAATTTCCAGTTAATAATGAATTTAAATTTTTTAGCAACAATTTTTTTTTTTTTTTAATGAACACGCATTTCATTTAAAGTTTGAGTTGATTCTTAATTAACCTGAAGAGCAAGAAATTATCAACCAATTTATTTCAAGAGTTTATTCTTGTTATTTATGTGCCTAAGGAACTTTGTATGCAAATATGGTTTATGTCACTGCTATGCACATTACACTTAACTGCCAATAAGCATGAAACAGAACAGTTTCAATTCTACCACAACATAAAAAACTAAATTATTTTTATTAATTTTATTATCAACACAAATGTTCTGCTCAGAAGGAATAATTTACTCGTAGCGGTACACACATTTCCTAACGTGGGACACGAACCCACTGTGTCCCTGAGATTAAGAGTCTCATACTCTGCCAAATGAGCTAGCCAGTCACTAATATTTACTATCAATATGCACATGTAGGTATTATTTAAGAAAATAAAAGAATGCACTGATTTTCTTACGGTTCAAAATTTTTCTCTTCCAAACAGTTATCAAAATTTCTTTCAATTACATGACAGCACACACAAATTGTAGTAACAGAATTATAGTTAATTAAATCCTAACCTCAAACATTTTATCTTCCTATCTCAATAAAATTCAATATATCCCAAAATAATTTTTTAAAAAATGAAGTGTTTCAATATTTTTTAATAGAGCCGGCCTTTCTATCTATTTTGTGCCTACAATTTGTCCATGATTCTGAAGTGGACAGTGAAAAAATGTAACTTTTAAAGGCAGTCGTGGGTTAGTACTGTAAAAAAAAAAGAGAATGTTGTTATAGTTGATAATGCAATATGGAACATTTGTGGATATACTCGTATGTCTGTTACTTTAAATGGGATGTTAAAATGTACATCCACATATCTCAAAATGCACTCTCGTACAATTCTTGTGCATCATCCATGAATCAAATGTTAATGATGAACACATGTTACTCCACTGAAACTTTCAATTAATTTTATATGGTGGGGATAGGCCACTACACTACTGATTACATTATAAAAACGAGATGGAATGCACAAGTACTTGTGCATAGTCTACTTTTTATTAGGAACTAATTTTAGGTATGCAAATACCAGTACAGAAACTTTAATACAACACAGGACATACAATACAATTTTAGATTCACGATTATGATATAAAATGGCAGGGCCACCAGTGAAAGTCACATAGAAGCAGAATGCAGATATAAAGACTGCATACATGGAGGTAATAGATGATGGAGGGGCAGCAGCCTATCTTCTCCACGATTATCAAGTGAAGCCGATTTCTTGTTCGACTTCTTTCAAATGCGCATGTGCAGACCGACTGTTTATGTCAGCCATATTATGAGTGGCAAAAGTCACATCATACATCGGTATTACCAGTAACATAATTATTGCATTTTGTTCTTGTGGGATGTTTTCAAATGTACGTGGCCTAAATAAGCTTGTGCATCAAAATGCTATACAATATTTAGCCACTATCAGTAATTACTTAAATGGAAAACACACCCATTTAACTACATTTAAACATGCACCTTTTTGCCACTACTGGCCCTGCCCTTGCCTTTCATTATCGTCTGCTGCCCGGCTTCACTTTCGTGTCTGAGCTTCCACTCCATAGACTAACACCTCCGTGACTGCATATCAGATTGGTGCAGTGCATGGAGATGGTGAGGGTGAAGTGAGGTGAAAATGAATCAGCGAAAGAATGCATGAGCAGGGCAAAACAGAGAACTCTGAAAAAAAATTTAAAAAACCCAGACAATCGCAATGTCAGCCATGTTTTCTACATGCGAAAATCCAAGTAAACCAACCGAAAACTGAACCTGGTGAAGCATGACGCATTCCTGCGTAGTTGGCATGCGCTCCCTACTTGTGACTTTGCCCCATCATCGAGCATCCTACGCTCATTTGGGCAAGCCCGCAGCGCATTATTATATTAAATAACGTGCCTACAGGATCTACAAGCATCACTGCAACTGAGATTACAGACACGTGGTTAGTAAAAATATAATCACTAATTAAAGCCATCACGTGATCGTTCTAACCCCAATGAGGAAATTTGAAATCTCGAAAAGCCACCGACACCCTTAGAAGAGATAAACTAGTTCAAGGGTTTGCTGTAGGAGCACAGTACCCATTCTACAAGATTGCCGCAGCCTCCAGCGCCCCGTGCAGAGGCGATAAGGTATGTCAATGCCTCCACTCAAGGAGAACAAAAGGGTGGCGCAGCATTGAAGCTCAAATAAACAACCTCTGTGATGTGAGACTAGCCACCCCCTCGCCCTTCTGGAAGCCAACAAATAAAGTTTTTTTTAGTATAAATAGGAGGTCCCATGCTGCATAAGGCCAAGGGAGCAATAGGGGCAAGGGACTTTCCACCCTCTTCCAGTCTGAAACACGGCTGAAGAAATGTCTCAAGGGTGCAATGGTCACTAGACCAACTTGGTAAGTGGCAAACAACTGACCTCACAGACTGAACAAGGTATAGGAAAAATACTACAGTTAATGTGCCGACCACTAGATCACGTGCTGAAGTACACGTTTCAACCACAGAAGATGCCCAACATCGGTGAACCCCGAAGACGCCTCCACCACCGCGCTGCTTCATACAGAAGACGTCACTCTCCACCTCGCCCTCCTTTAACCATTTTTCCTTTCACGTTAAATTCCGCTTTGGAACAGGTCGCAAGGTATTACATCCTTCAGAGCACTCCTAATTAAATTAGGATTAATTTAATTGCAAATTATTGAATTTCATTTTAATTAATTAATTTTGCTCAGGACTCCTTCACCTGAATATTCATAAGGACTAAGCTGCCTTCATTTATTAAATATATTTTACTTTGATATAAATTAGCAGCGAGTACGGACTCACCTTGCATTTCTTAAAACGTAATTATTTTTATCATTAATTTTGGGAGTAACTTATTTTACTCTATGTGTTTTCCCTTTTGTCATTTACAGAAAGGTACATTAATATTGGTATAGAGAACTTTTTGTTCATACTAATTTCACCATTAATAATTTCTGCCAGCAATAAACCACAGGTGTGACAAGTAACGCATGCCACAAAGAAAAATACACACACCACTAGAATGGCAAACCGAGCCCTGCCTTTAGGGTAGTTCATTAGGAATACCCCACTGTAGTTATATACAAATCCACACCTCGGTTAGTTAGACCAGATGTTCTGCTTCTACTTCCCAGTATGAAAAGGCTGGAAGGAAAACTGAACGTCCTGCTACTGACTTAATCACGGGTGGGTGCTTCACCCACATCTCAGGCAAAGTGTAAGTCCCTCTCAGTCAGTCCCAGTCTGAATAAGGCCGGACAGTGGGTACTGAGATTGACGGCACTGTTTCTTGGTTCGACACGTTAGGAACACATTAATTACTTGTTTATCCTTCTGGTCAGTTTTCTTTAGTAGCTCAATGCCTTACGCAAAGCATGGCAGGCACAGTAGAATACGTAGATGCGCTTTCAGAGAAACAATAAGAGCACAAAATACTTTAAATTCTGAGATTGAATATTAATACTTCAATTATTGATAACTCTGACTTGCCTGTAAGTAATTCACTACCTTCGTCAGCCCCACTCTTTGGGCCACTTATTAAACTTCCAGACGCAGAACATCCCGCAATTGCTTTTATTTTAAGTGAAGGCAACCCCTTATTGGGTATTGAAAATGCACATCCAGTAATCAGTCCACCCACACCCCGCAACCAGTACCACTGCCCTACCACGCTGCAACCAACATCAGCTACTGTTCCAGCTGTTACCCACCCAGTGAGACAAGCTGCTACGCGGAGTGTGCCACTTCCTGCTGCATCACAGGTACAGTGCCTGGCTAAACTGCTACAGCAGTGGATAACTTCTTCCCAAGTAGGAAACCAACACGGCCCACTATTTATAATGGTCGCCTCCCGGAAAGGGAATAACTTCCTTCGACTGTTGTCCCAAAGTGTAAACCACCAATGCCCTCAGAAAAACTGACCTCGCACCTTACTTTGAAGTATCTGAGAGTGTTTAAGTCCCAGGTGTCTGGTCTAGAAGAACGCAGAGTTCTTTTCACTCTATGTTTACCCCTCTTTCACCTAGGTCTAGGCCGAAGGTAAGAAATTCTAGACCCCGATCATCTTCCAAACTTGGGAGGACCCCCGACCTTGTTAGCATTTAGATTGTGTTACATTCTGAGCTAACCTGGGCCGGTCTAGTAACCAAGAAGATAAAGCGCACATACTCCAGAAGGGGCTGGAGAATGGGAATTCAGATGCGCTTCTGGAGGGTAGGCATTCTAGTACCCACTTTAGCATTAAATAATTCCCTCATTTACTTAATGTCTATCATATAAAGGAAATCTCACAGGCTTTACTGGTTCACCTTGAAGGGAGGTAAGTTCTGTTACAGCACCGCAGCTATTGTAGGGAAGGTGGGGCAACTGATGTGCGTGGCTCCTAACACTCCCACATTTCTAGGCTTCAAACACTCGAGATACCTCAAGCCAAGTAAAACATTTAAGAAGAAAAGTGTATTTCAAAGTCATGGATGATACTTAATGATAATGCTAAAAAGGGGTGAAAAATGGTTTCTGGGTATGGGTATAGGCAAATGGTGAATGGAAACTGTGAACAAAAATGGAGTAGAAATTAACTAAACATCTGAGAACTCAGTATGTAACTACAAGAAAGATGGATGACCAGTGTAGGAGAGGGTGCAGGATAGAGTGCCTCACAGACATTGGCAGAAGTGGAGGTTGCCTCCAGTTAAATATCTTATCACAAATATGGTGCATGACAATGATAAGTCACCAACATAAGACACTCACCTCCCAGTTCTATGTCCCCCGCCAGACCTTCCACAATGTCGTCCTGCAAGTCACCCAGCACTGCAGTTATCACTGTCTCCGACTGCTTGCCACTTTGATGGGGTTCATCCTGCAACCTCTTACTACGCGTCTTCCTGCGGGCTGGAGTGGGGCCACCGTCACGCTTGATTGTGGTGTCTCTCTTCCTCGGCCTGGGGGCAGGGGTCCGCACCTCAATGTACTCAGATCCTCCGGCCACCGCAGCTTCTTGACTTCCCAGCCTTTGCTTGGGTTCTGGCCTCTCTGTCATCTGCCATCACAAACTGCACTTACTTATCTGTATCACAGTGTACCAAGTTTACAAAAATCTATTCACTTGTGTTCTGTGGATCCCTCTTCAAGAACACGTAAAAAAAAAAATGTATTTTTATATCTGTAGAAACAATTAATTTGCAAATAAAAGTAACTTATCAGAGTACATAATACAGCCATATGAAAACAACTACAACCGAGAAAGTTTATGTACAAACAGGAAAAATGAAAGTTGCAACTTGTGATGTACATACAAAGTCACAAAAGCAAACTATGGTGAGGGTTT